TGGGAAGCGGGCTGGTGAGAGCAGAGATGGGGCGTGGGGTGAGCAGTGCGGGTCACGAAAGCGGAGATGTGAGATGGAGAATAACGGCTGTGCACATTTGGCCGACCCTTTACAGTCTGCTCCCATTTAGACTCCCATAATTTCCTCCTCCCATCAGGGAGAGCGAGGTGCGGAGAGGTCGGGCGGCTGCGGAGGGTGGGGTCCCAGGAGAGCGCGAGGCCCAGAGGAAGGGTGAGCGCCTGGGCGGGGGTGCGCGGTGCGTCGCCGGGGGTGGGCGCCGGGCGCGGGCGGGTGTGGGGCGGGCCGGCTACGGGCCGGGAGGGGAGGGGAGGGGGGGGCGGGCTCCGCCGGCACACGCCGCGCCTGGCAGGCGGCCTGAGCGCGTGCGAAGAGCCGCCGCCGCCGCCGCTCGGGGTCGCCTTGAGCCCCAGATTCCCCAGCGCTGGCTCGCATGGCAGCCGCCTGGGCGCCTGGCCCCGCGACCCGCTAAGGGCGGTCCAGCGCCCCGGCCCAGCCCTTCAGGTGAGTCCGTCGGATCCGGCCTCGCTCTGCGCCCCGGGGCGCGCCGCCTCCCAGCCCGAGGTGAGGACCGCGAGGGCAGGGGCGCGCTGGGCTGGGGGCGTTCTGGGGTGCCCAGGCCCCGCGCCGCGGCCGAGCCGAGTGCCGTGGAGGTAGGAAGGGGATGCGGGAGCAAGTCCTGCGGGGAGTCGGAGGTGGGGGGCAGAGACAGCTCGCTGCCGGGAACCAGCCCCCTAGTCGCCCCCGTGCTCGAGGACGCCCCTCGGCGCTGTTCCATGTCCCTCTCCGTCCGACTGCGTTCCCCGGCCCTTCCAGTGTCCTGACCTCGCTCTGCGCTGCCCATCTTTCAACTCCTTCCTACAGAGCCCGCTCCCGGTTCCTGTCTCCAATCCCCTCGTCTGCTCAGACCTTCCCAGCCCCCGCCCTCCGCTGCCCCCACCGCTTTTTTCTGTCTGGATGCCCCTCTCCCCTCTCGGCTCGTTATCACTCGGAACCGGAATCTGTGCCGCTATCTCCGCGTCCGGCCGCCTCCCAGCCTGTGCCGTCCCACAGGTGTCAGCACGTCTGGCGGTCCGTCTGTCCCTCCCGGGGCCGGGGCTGACCATGCCCAGCGGCTGCCGCTGCCTACATCTCGTGTGCCTGTTGTGCATCCTGGGGGCACCCGTAAAGCCTGCCCGAGGTGAGCGCTCCCCTGGGCTCAGGTCGCGGCCCTGTCCGGCTGTCCCTCGCTTGCACGTTGACCTCTGCCGGCCAGAGATGGCACTGCAGGCGCTCCGACCCGCGGGGTTGGCGACACCCAGGACATCCCTTTGGAATGGGATGAGTCTCTGTTCTGCCCTGTCCCAGAGCTGAGTCCACCCAATTACTGGGACCCTGCATCCTCTCCCTAGCCCCGCATCTCAGGCAGCTGAGCGCTGACCCCGGGATCACTCCTCTCACATCAATCTCTTTCAGCTGATGACTGCAGCTCCCACTGTGACCTGGCCCATGGCTGCTGTGCGCCTGATGGCTCCTGCAGGTACCTCTCCGAGCACATGCTCCCAAACGCTGTGCTCCACATTTCCCGGGCCTCCACACCCACAACCAGCTCAAGCCCCAGAGCAGAATGTCTAGGGGCTTAAGACTCTACTGCTCTCTCCCCATCCCCTCGTGCACATGGTACACAGGGCAGAAGGCCAGCCCTTCACCCTGTGCTTACTCCTCCCCAGTTCCCCTTTGCCTTGCCTCTCCTTTGCTTCTTCTAGCCTATGGCTCCCCACTTCACTCTCCCAACCAGGCATTCTGCAACATTCCTCTTCAAGATACCAGGAGAAAGACCCGAAGCTTGAGGGAGTGTGGAGAGTGGGAGCCATAAGGAAAAGGGGAGATAAAGGAAAGACATAAATAGAATTGGTTTAGCCTGGAAAAGAAAGGCTGTTGCAAGGGTTGCTGGGGAGAAGCGCTTACGAGAGTCTTTTCTGATGAATTTGAGTAATTGACTCAGTGGGGTGGGGTTGGGCAAATTCTGCAGCAGGAGGAAAGGAGTGTCTGGTCATAAGGAAATGAGCTGACAGGGCAAGGTCCTGGAGGGGCTGAGGGTGCTTGGGACTCTCCGAAGTAGAGCAGGCCTTTGCCCTGGAATCAGGGTAGGAAGATAGTCCTGATGACCTTTCAAGGTCACTCTTTTAAAAAAAATGTTTCTAAGCACCTCAGACATGCCAGGAGTTGTGCTGGGAGCACTTACAGACATCATCGTAATTTCCTCCTCCACACATCCCTGCCAGGTGTATCCCTAGTTTACAGGTGAAAAAACTGAGGCTCAGAAAGGTTAGACAAAGTGCAGAACCAGGACTTGAATGCTGGTGTCTGATGGTCTGATACCATGTATGTGTCCCGTGACCCTGCACAGCCCTATATCAACCTGGGATAGGCCTGCTTTCACTTGGGGGCTGTCATATTTGTCTGTTTTCTAGAAGCTCTGATCTTGCCTCCTCCATTTCTTCACATCCTTCTACCCAGAGCCCTGACCCTATGCTTCTCCCCATCAGGTGTGACCCAGGCTGGGAGGGGCTGCACTGTGAGCGCTGTGTGAGGATGCCTGGCTGCCAGCATGGTACCTGCCACCAGCCCTGGCAGTGCATCTGTCACAGTGGCTGGGCAGGCAAGTTCTGTGACAAAGGTAGGGGAGTAGAGAGGGTAGCTGTTGTCTGGGGACCCCATGTGTCTTGGGAGAACGTCCATCCTTATTTATTGAGCGCCTCTTGTGTCTGGCTCAAACCCGAAAATATATGGTAGCTTATAATTTTAGACTTTATACCTATCTGTTGTCTGAACTGGTCCTAAACACAACCCTATGTGGTAGGCAAGACACCTGCAGAAAACTGTACTCATATCACAGATGAGGAAACTGAGATCTACAGACAAGATACAACTTGCCCAAAGGCACTTTGAGACAGACTAACAGGGCCAGGGCTGAGTGCCTCCCGACTCCAAATTCAGTGTTGTTGTTTTCCCCCACTACACTGTACCAGCCCGGGCTGGGATTGTAGTATGAGCCACACTCACAGAACTTTGGGTGGGGCCTGGGCAGGTCCGGGTGCCAGACATGAGGGGCTAACCCCGAGCCCTCCTGGTCTCCTCTCCAGATGAGCACATCTGTACCACACAGTCCCCCTGCCGGAACGGAGGCCAGTGCGTATATGACGGGGGCGGCAAGTACCACTGTGTGTGCCCACCGGGTTTCTACGGGCGTGACTGTGAGCGCAAGGCCGGACCCTGTGAGCAGGCAGGGTGAGTGCTGGCCCCAGGTTAGATGAGGATCTGGTGATGGAGGAGAGAGGACTGTTGAGAGGATGGTGGGGCAGTGTTAGGGCTGACAGTCAGAAGTCCCACACAGGGGTACTCGAAGATAAAACCCAGTCTGTCAGAGTATCTGTAGGGTTTCTCAACTTTTTTGGTACCATGTGAACCATTTCTCCAACGACAAAAATCTACAGGGGCTGGAGGTGTAACACATCAATGTGTGACTCCCCTGGGTGGGGAGGCTGAGGGCCTAGGACTCCCCTCATCCTCCCAGGAAGGGTGGCACGCAGCCCCTAAAGTTGTTCCACACAGCAGCCTTATGCCTCGTGGTGAATGGGGAAATAGCCTACAGGTCTGGACTCTTCCTCATTTCCACGTCAAGCCTGAGAGCCTGCGTGGATAATAACTGTACACTTGCCTTGAGCCTTGCTTTGGGGCCAGGCCCTCTGCTACTTGCTTGACCCTGGATTATCTCATCTAACCCTTACCATTTGGGAAGCTGGGTACTGCTCTTATCCCATTTTTATATATTTTTTAAACTTATTTATTTTAAAATTTCTTCTAACACTTTTATTTATTTATTTGTTGGCCGTGCTGTGCAGCTTGTGGGATCTTAGTTCCTCAACCAGGGATCGAACGTAGGCCCTTGGCAGTGAAAGCACAGTCCTAACCACTGGATCACCAGGGAATTCCTCTAATCCTAGTTTTAAAATGAGGCATTTGAGGCTCACAGAAAAGTGGCTCAAGGTGACATACCTAGAAGGGGGGTGGTAGTGGTGGCAGTGATCAGAATGTCGACCCGGGCTACCCTGCAGATGGCAGTCGGTAAAATGCCCTCCCCCACCCCACTCAGCTCCCCGTGCCGGAATGGTGGGCAGTGCCAGGACGACCAGGGCTTCGCCCTCAACTTCACATGCCGCTGCTTGGCGGGCTTTGTGGGTGCCCGCTGCGAGGTGAACGTGGACGACTGTCTGATGCGGCCTTGTGCTAACGGCGCCACCTGCCTGGACGGCATCAACCGCTTCTCCTGCCTCTGCCCTGAGGGCTTTGCTGGGCGCTTCTGCACCATCAACCTGGATGACTGTGCCAGCCACCCATGCCAGAGAGGGGCCCGCTGTCGGGACCGGGTCCACGACTTTGACTGTCTCTGCCCAAGTGGCTATGGTGGCAAGACTTGTGAGCTAGTCTTACCCGTCCCAGATCCCGCCACCATAGCGGACATCCCCCCAGGGCCCACCTTGGCTGTGGTGGTACCTGCCACGGGGCCTGTTCCCCACAGCGGGGGCGCCGGTCTGCTGCGCATCTCCGTGAAGGAGGTAGTGCGGAGGCAAGAGGCCAGGCTGGGCGAGTCTAGCCTGGTGGCCGTAGTGCTGTTTGGGGCTGTCACTGCCGCTCTGGTCCTGTCCACGGTGTTGCTGACCCTGAGGGCCTGGCGCCGGGGTGTCTGCCCCCCTGGACCCTGTTGCTACCCTGCCCCACACTATGTCCCGGCGCGCCAGGACCAGGAGTGTCAGGTTAGCATGCTGTCGGCAGGGCTCCCCCTGCCGCCTGACTTGCCCCCTGAGCCTGGGAAGACCACAGCCCTGTGATGGAGGTGGGGGCTTTCCTGCCCCCTCCTTCGCCTCCTCTGCCGCTCAGAGTGGATTGGCCCTTTCTCGCCACCCCTCAGCTGGGATACCCAACACTGAGGGACCTCAGCCTCACGCCAGAAATATTATTTTTTTAATACAGAGTGTAAGATGGAACTTTATCAAATAAAACTATGGAAGTGCATGTGGGCTCCTTTGTCAGAAAAAATCCGCCTGGAGTCCCAGATGCAAGAGGGCCAGAGCAGAGGCCTGCTTCTGGGGAAGCCGCGGGACTCTGCCCCCGAGAAGGAGTGGTTTGTAAAGAGGAACCCAGGGTACCCTTTTCCCCTCTGCGGAGGTGAGAGAGAGGTAGAGCCACAGAAGGGTGTAAACAGGCGGCAGGCCCCCCTGTGCCAGGCAGCAGTGGGTAGGACAGAGGAAGGCCCTGTGGCGCGGGGACTCGGGGCCCTCAGGGAGGGGAGCGGGCTCCCTGCCGGCTGCTCTACAGCAGCTGCTGGAACAGCGAGTGGGGCTGGCTGCGCAGGACGGCGGGGGAGTCCAGCTCCGCCACCCTCCCGGCTTGCAGAACCAGCACCCGGTCTGAGTTCAGGATCGTGTTGAGCCTGCGTGGGAGAGGGTGGTCAGCGTGGGGATGCAGGACAACGCCCTAGAGAAAGCTGACCTGCTTTCCCTCCTCTTCTCCTCTGGACAGCACCAGCCTGCCCCACAGGCTTCAGCCCCTGGCTCTGTGCTAGGGGAGGGGCTGCAGGCTCCCTCAGACAATGCGCTACAAAGGGCCTGGGTTGGTGCCTGGAGAACACGGAGCTGAGATTCATGGGGGTTGGAATCTCTAGAGCCCTGACCCCTGGGGTTTCTGAAAGGAAGGGAGGCTATGGGTCCATGACACCTTAGCCCCTGGTTAGATTCTCACTCTGGATGCCTACACACCTGTGGGCGATGGTCAGCACTGTCTTGCTGGCAAAGCGTTTACAGATGGTCTGCTGGAGCAGCTGGTCTGTCTTCTGGTCCACGCTTGCTGTGGCCTCATCGATACACAAGATCTGGACCATGTGGAGAGGATGAGCAGGGAGGAGGGAGAAGAGGGTCAGCCGTGGCTGCTACATAAGCCCCAGCCCCCGCCTCCTGGTCTGGCGCAGGCCAGCCCACAGCTCCCCACCTCCAGCTCTAAAAGAAAAACTAACTAGGTCCCTTGAGACCTCTCCCCAGTCCACTTCCTCACCCCCCACCTCTCACACGTCCCCTGCCTTCTTCCCGGCCCTCTCGAATGCCCCCTCCTCTTGTCTGTCTTACCTTGGCATCTGTGAGGAGAGCCCTGGCCAGACACAGCAGCTGCCTCTGCCCCAGAGACAAGCTCCGGCCCCCCTCGCCCAGCTCACCATCCAGACCACCTGCGAAGCGCGGCACCTTCATCCCTGGGTTCTGAGCCTCCCTCAACCCCTCCCCGCTCACTCCTGCCACCACGCAGGATAGGACCGAGAACTCACCCAGAGATATGATCACCTCACTCAGGTGGCACTGCTCCAGGGCCTGCCACAGGGCCCTGTCCTCGTACAGACCCCGGGGGTCCAGGTTTTCCCGAACAGTTCCACTGAACAAAAAGGGCTCCTGGGGGATGATTGCCAGCTGGGATCTGGGGGATGAGGATGGGACAGGACATGGGGGTCTTGGCTGGAGATGTGGCCACTTCTGCTCCCAGCACAGGTTTTAGCTATAGGTCCAGCCCTTCAGAAAAGCTTGGGGATAAGACCTGAACATAACCCCCGTCCTGTTCCCCGCTTGGTCAGCCATGTACCTAGAACTGTGCCAGTGCTATGAGGAATACCAAAGGAACCAAAGGCCTAGACTCTGCCCTTAAGGAGCTTACATCTCACTGAGGGGCAAAACAGAACAAGCACGAGCTAAACAGTATGGTACTGACTCCAATCACGGGACAGCAGTGGATGGCAAAGAATGACCAGAGGGGACCAAGGAATGACTGGGTAGGGGATGCTTCAAGGTTGGAAGCAGGCCTGAAATTGGGTCCTGAGGAGCCATATGGTCAACCTATGGCCACCACAGGTTAGAAGAGAAGGCAGGAAGGCCAGGGCCAGGGCCTGGGATCAGTAATGGGCTTTAGGACAGAGCATCCCTACCTTTTTCCACATCATGGAACTCAGAAAAAATGATACTAGGGCAACGTGGTTGGGAGGGGTGTTTAGCTCCAGATGAGACCCCTCGTGGCCAGAGGAAACTGGCCCAGGTCTCCAGCTGTTCCAAGCACCGCCTGCCAAGCCCAAGGTCACAGCACCTGGGAGGCTCTGATTCAGGAGGCAGTGACTGGTGGTCTAGAGCGGAAGGTGTATGCTGGGAAGTACAAGGTGAACCTGGGAAGGTGAAAACCTTAGGACCACAGCTATGAACCCCGACCTGAGCACTGGCAGCTCACTATCCTCGCCTGCTTGTCCCATCCTCCGTCTCACCTGATCAACCCTGTCTGCCCTGAGTTTATATAAAGCCTTCCTAACTGGGCCTTCCTCTAAGTGCCAGTAGTCTGGTCCCCTCTCCTCCCTCCCCCAGACCTGAGCTCGGCCAGCTCCAGCTGGCTGGTGTCCACGCCGTCCAGCAGCACTCGCCCAGAACTGGGCTCTAGCAGCCGAAAGAGCACCAACAACAGGGAAGACTTGCCAGAGCCCGTGCGGCCCACGATGCCCAGCTTCTCTCCAGGCTGCACGTAGAAGGTCACCCCATCCAGGGCATTGGGCAGCCCTGGCCGGTACACCAACACCACATCCTGGAACTCCACGCTCCCCTGGCTCAGCCAGCCAATGCCCAGCTGGTGGGGTCCGTGGGTGGGAGAGGGAGGGAGATGGGTGAGACGGGGAGGAATGAGGAGAGTGGAAGGGAGAGGAATGAGGGGTGGATGCCGTGAGAGGAGAGGTGGGGGAAACGAGGAGTGATGGGGGGATGGACACAAAAATCAGGGAGATCACAGGGGACGGTACAGGAGCAGAGAAAAAATGGTGAGGGGCACAAGGAAAGGAACTGGGGGAGAGACTGGGGCCGTCAGGAGGATCCTTCAGGGTTCCAGCACCCAGGCTGGGGTGAGGGCGCAGGCTACCTGCGGCCGCTGGCCCTGGGGCTCCTGGGGCAGGTCACAGGAGTATTCCTCCAGCCGCTCGACGCTCACCATCATGGCTTCTGTCTGTGTGAAGCTGCTCACCAAGCCGGAGAGCAGGCCCGTCAGGGACAGGGCGTAGGACAGTGACAGGCCCACGAGTCCTGGGGGAAGGGAACACAATCGCCGGGGGAGGCTTGGACGCTGGGACGTGTGTGGGGATGGCTGGGGAGAACGGGCGAACCCTGAGCTGTGGACCGTGGGCATTTAGAGGAAGCTGGCACTGACGGAAGAAGATGCAGGAGCCAGCCCAGGCCCACAGGAGGCTGGCTGCAGCAGAGTGGAAAGGCTACGAGGGAGGACGGGTGGAAGGCAGGTGGGCTAGGGCCAGTTGCTAAGTGCTGAGGACGAGTGAGCAGGGAGGGGCGGAGATCAGAAGACTTGACTAGTCCCAGATCCACGACCACCGGGGTGAGTGACTCCTTGAGACTCAGTTTCCTCAACTCTAAAATGCGGGTGATGAGAATGACAACATATCCTCACGGGGAACCCCGGCTGGGAGGTGAAAATGCTTGGGGCTGTAGGGGCAGTGCAGGGAGAGGTCTGGGGCAGGTGCTGGGAGTAACAGACTTCTGAGGTGAGAGTGAAGGGTCCCGGGGCGGCACCTGGGTTGGCGAGGCCCTGCTGGTGCTGCACCAGGGCAATGCCTGCGATGGCGCTGACCACTGCAGCCCCCATTAACTGTAGCCGAATGTCCAGCCACTGCATCGTGGCGCTGGCAGCGAACTGGCACCTCTGGTTTAGCTCCAGGAGTCTCTGGTTCTCCTCCTCAAACCTGGGGGAAGCCACACCACAGCTGCACGGACCTGCCCAGACGCCCTGCCCGTAGGATGCCTCCTCCTCGGAGCTGACCTGCACGCCCACGGGCTGCACCTCAGTGGTACGGAAGAGCCAATGTGCTCTCTCGTAGGGGTCTGCTCAGCGTCACTCTCCCCCTTTTCTGTTTCTTTCCTCTTCCCCCTATGCCCTCACCCACCCTTCCCTTCTCAGGAGACTGAGACCCGACCCCCTCCTTCTCAGGGGTCCCCCCTCCCCCCAGCACCTCACCCCCCTCGCACTGGTTGGAGGAGGCGGACCTCACACACCTGTAGGTGGTCCCAGTGGCCCGGAGCACAGGGAGGCCCGCCAAGGTGTCGGCCAGGTGGGTGTAGAGAGGAGAGAGGGTGAGGCTGCCCAGGCGCCGCAGCTCCCTCGAGGAGGCCCTGTAGTGGCGCTGCATGCGGTAGTGGATGAGGCTCAAAGGCGGCAGCAGCAGCAGCAGCCAGGGCAGGCCAGAGCCCAGCACAGCCAGGAGGCCCAGCAGGCCTGCTGCGTTGGCCAGGAGGATGTTGAGGATGAAGGGCAGGCTGTCATCCGCACAGGCCACGTCGGAGGAAAAGCGGTTGAGGACCCGGCCCGTGGGCGTGGAGTCGAAGAAAGTCACCGGTGCCTGGGAGGAGGGGTGTGGGTGGGCCAGGGCAGGGGCCAGCGGAGAAGCCATGGAGGCAGCCCCCGGGGGAGGTGGGATGGGGGGAAAGGCCCAAGGTAGAGAAGAGGAAAGGAGTAAAGTGTCCCCAGAGTTTGGGGGCACTGAGGCGGGGCTGGAGGAGCTTAGAGGAAGAATACCCCAGGTGGGAAAGAGACAGTCTCTCCCATCCCTCTGGCTAGCGGGGGCCCTGAGAGGCCAGGCGGGCCACCCCTCTACTTCTGTGCTAGGCGTGCCTACCCCCCTTTCAAGGGCAGGTAGCTAATCTCTTTTCAGAAGATGGAGTCTTCAGGCCATGAGTGAGATTTAGTTAGATGTTAGGAGGAACATCCTGATTGCCTGGGGCGGGACAGAGTGGGGAGGGCGGCAGTCAAAGTCCACACTGTCCCATGGTCAAGCGCTCAGGCTCCGGAGTCAGACTGCTTCTTGGATTCCAGCCCTGCCACTTACCAGATGTGAGACCCCACGTAAGAGGGCTTCATCTCCTCAAGGCCCCTGTCCCTCATCTCAAAAAGGGGGATAGTAATGAAACTGTACCTCCCGGGGCTGACAGCAGGACTGAAGCCACAGACAGCAGTCAGGAGCTTAGTAGGGTCTGCCTGCCACAGAGCAGGTGCTTGGTAACTGCTAGCTACTTAGACTACTTACTATTGGGAGGTACGGTCTCAAAGACCCTTTCCCTTTCTCTACCTTCCCTGTCCCCCAACTCTCTGCCTTTACTTGGGGATCAGTCCTATCTTAAGGCAGGGCACTAGGTCAAAAGGCTTGCTGAAGCATTTCCTAAAGCCAGCTTATGAGAAATTAATTCCTTCACAGCCTGAAGATGTGGGCAGACAATGGGTAGCTGCTCCTGGAAAGGCAAGGGAAAGACCCACATGTCCTGGGTTCACGGCCACAGAACTAGCCTTGCCCAGGTTGCACACACTCTCAGAGCCTGTTTCCTCATCTGTAAAAGGAGGATAATAGTACCCACCTCACAGGGTTATGATGAGGCCCTAATAAGATAACAGACAAAAAAAGAGCTTCGTAATAATAACAACATCGGTAATAATAATTGTAATTGGGCACTTAGTATATGCCAGGTACTATATCCCAAGCACTTTCGATGTACTGATTAATCCTTATAATGACCTATGGGGCAAGCAACAGACTATATATACACACAGCAACAGGGATGGACCTCAGAAAGACTCTAAGTAAAAACTGTGAGAAAAGGAATGTCATTTGTGAAACTATGGGCACACAAAACACAGGCATTTTGCAAAAAGCCAAAAAGATACATATTAAACACACCCAGGATGGCTGCTTATCAAGGAAAGCAGAGGAAACGAAAACAGGGTTTGCAGGTAAATAGGAATGGATCAATACATAAAATTAAAAAGGGATCTCACATGAACTCAGGGGTGATTAATTCAGTCCTCTGCGCCGGAAGTAAATCTGAGGAAGATTCTCTTCTCCCCACTTTATAGATGAGAAAGCTATAGGCCTAAGTAATTGGGCTTGAACCCAGGCAGCTGCTCTGCTCTTGGCCTCTCCAGGTCTCAAGTGCTGCACCCATCTGTGAGGGGCTGTTTTCTCCTGAGCACCAGGAGTGGGGACAGGCCCCTGATGGAGCCCAGGTACCGGGAAGGGCCCCCCATGCCACCCCCACCCTCCCATCCCCTCACCATGAGGACTCGACTCAGCAGGCGGCGGTGCAGGGTGGCGGCTGCTCGGAGGGTGCCCGCTGCAAAGAGCACTGCCCGGAGAAGGGTGCAGAGGGAGTTGACGCCAGCAATGGTCGCATACACGGTGAGGTAAAAGCGGATGTCTGAGGAGCCATTGGGGGCAGCTTTGGGCAGTGGGAACACTGAGGTGCTGGGTGGTGGGGAGGGGGCTGTGGGTAACCAAAAGTGGGGCCACTCAGGGGTCCCTTCCCCACGGCCCCTCCCAACGCCACTGCTCCCCACCCTCCAGGAGACACAGGCCCTGGAACACCAGCCCCCCAACTCACTCCCTGCCTGGCAACCACTCTGAGAGCCCCAGGCCTGCTCCCGGCCCCAGCCACTCACTAGAGGCTTCCGGGGAAGAAGAGGAGCAACTGGGCAGACAGTGGCCCTGCGGAGCCCAGGCTGGTGGGAGCTGGCGCCTCCTGGGAGCTATTCTTGGCTGCCTTCAGCTGAGCGATCCAGTGGGCGAGCCACCAGTCAGCCGAATTCCTGGTTGCTGGGTGGGGGTGGGAAGGAGAAAGCTGCCAGACAGCTCATCTTCTTCTTTCTATTCAGACAGCCCCGTTTCTACCCTCCTCCCCAGCCATCCCCACCTTATGTCCTCCCCAGTGTGCACTTCTTTCCTGGGCCCATCACCCTTCAACTCTGGGGAGAGTGTGATCTTGAATCCGCAGAACGGGAGTCAGCCTTGGGGGCAGATCAGAAGAAGGCTACGGAGCATCCCTGCTCCCCCCCGGCTCCCGGCCCCTGGGACCCTCAGAACTGGGGACATGTCTCTAGTCCCAGCTGCCGCCCACACATGGTTGAGTGTCTGGGCTTTGTAGTGATTAGTACAAGGTGATGGATGTGATGGGGACCTAGGCGACAGGGCTGGGGGTGGGATGAAGGCCTGCAGGGTTTACTCTTACCTTGCATGAGGAGCAGAGAGAAGAGGATGGCGAGGGCCAGGCCCCAGCCCACGGCCCTCCAGTATGCACGGTACACGTGGAAGGCCACGGCGCCCTCCTTCTTGCTTTCTTCCTGCAGCAGGCGGCCAGACGTGCTCTCCTCCACCTCCAGGCCCTCCTTTGTTTTCTCTGGGTTCTGTACTGATTGGGCTGTGACTGTGAGAATCAGAGAGGTGGGCGGGGGGGTATTAAGCTTACAGGATGACAGTTGAAAACCTTAGTGTTTTCAGGGGCAGGCAAGCTTCCTAGAAACATCTCCCTACAAGTGTGGTGGCGAAGAGCAGGCTCTTTCCTCTCACCCCGGGCCGTACCTGGGTCAGACTCTTGTCCATCCTCAGCCCAGGTTTTGGGGGCAGCTTGTACCAATGGTAGGATCTCAGAAGGGGGCCCTGGAAGGCAGCAGGGGAGATTAGGAGGGGGCTCTCCTGGGTATATTCTATGCCTTTCTAGACATGTGAGCCAATCCACCTCCCATGCTCTTTGGACCCCCTCCCTGACCTACCCTAGCAGGGCTGTGCCCTGGACCCGCAGACCCTGAGCAGGACCATCAAGTCCATCCCTCTGTGTCTGGTGTCCGATCAGCACAGACAGAAAATGTTCACCCCTGGGAGGAGAGTCACGGCCACCTGTGAGAACCCTGTCCAGAGGCACCGCTCACTACCGCTGGGCTTTCTCCTCATGCTTCCTGGAACTCCTAACCCGCTGGTGGAGCCTCATCTGCTCCTGTTTCTCTCCACTGAACGTGCCAATGGTCATGTCCCTCTGGATAATAATCCATCAGAGTTTCTGTTTATTTGTTTTTAAATAAAATGATTGTTCTAAACCTGACTGCTTTCCTTTCTCCGAGGACATCCAACTGTTCTCTGAGATCCTGGGCCTCTAAGTTCCCAAAGCTCCCAGTCACAAAGCCTGCGTCACAAAGCCACAAGGCTCCTTTCCCTCCTGCTCTCTGTTCCTCACACCAGTTTTGTGAAGGCAGAAGAGGGTCTCCCATTAGACAGAAGTATGACGGGGCCCAGATCACACACAGAGGGGGTGGCAGAGTCTGCACTTGACAATCCATCTGTCGCACCCGAGCAGATGGCTCCCTCGCTCAGCCGGGCTCCCACCCTGGTGGCCCACATTACCAGCTTGGATGAGGCGCCCAGCCTCCATCAGCAGCACCACGTCAGCCCTCTCCAGGTACTCGGTGCGGTGGGTGCACAGCAGCCGCGTGGTGTGGCTCAACACTCCCAGGATGCACCTGTGCAGCAGGTGGTTGGCCACGTCCGCATCCACGGCGGCCAGAGGGTCATCGAGGAGATAGAGCTCCTTCTCCTAGGGAGGGTGGGGGCATCACGGATATCAAGTCCTCTGGCCAGAACCCAGACCTCTCCTAGGACGTGATCTTGAGGCCATCCCGGAATACGGTTGAGAGGAACTCTGGGGCTACAGCAGTAAAGAAGGTGGTGAGACCAGAGGGTGGACTTCCCTCCAGTTATGCAAGGCCAGTGCCCCAGGGCCAGTGTTCAGTTTTGCTGGGTCCCAGTGCCTCAAGCCACATAATGCTTTTTAAAGAGCCTTTAATTCTGCCTTCAATCTACAAAAGGGGGATGGGATGGCCAAGGGACCAACACCTTAGGAGTATGGGGGGGGGAGGGAAGAAACCGGATGCCTATGAAAATATCCCCACACTGCCCCCTCCCCAGCGAAGCTCCTGAGGCTCCGGGCTCCCCCATCTTCAACTTACCTGGTACACGGCACGAGCAAGGGCAATCCGGGCCCGCTGTCCTCCGCTGAGGGTCACACCCTTCTCCCCCACCTCTGTCTGGTCCCCAGCAGGCAGGATCTGACAGGACAGGCCCCGCAGTGTTGGTCAGCGAGCCCCCCAATACTTTCCACCCCATTTCCTATCCCTCTGCAGGGAAGAGATGGCGGGGGTCAGAGAGCCAGGGAACTTGAGGAGACTGGACTTGACTTTGGGGTATGTGAGCCAGAGGGGACAAACCACAACTCCAACAAAAAAGAGCATTTGTTGAACACGTTTTTCTTCTTTTTTTTCTTGAGGAATTTTTAATAAGCTTTCCTCTTTTTGTTTTTCTGGCTGCGCCACGCAGCATGCAGAATCTTAGTTCCCCGACCTGGGATCGAACCCGTGGCTCCTGCAGTGGAAGCGCGGAGTCTTAACAACTGGACTGCCAGGGAAGTCCCCTGTTGAACACTTTCTATGTGCTGAGCACATTACAGGCATCATCTCATCTGACCCCCACGGCAACTTTATGAAGTTGACATTATTTCATTTTCACAGATGAGACCAAAGCTCAGAGTAAGTACCATGCCCAAGGTCATTCCACAGCTAGTAAAGGGCAGGACATGAATGTAGATCCTTAACCACTCCGTCACACTCACTACCCTGCCTTTTTAACAGGCAAGGATGAAGATGGCCAAGTTCAAAGTGAAACTTTCCTAGGTTTTTAGAGAAGGAAGGTATCCCGAGCCTTGGAAGAGGTATCCTGTGGCCTTGGGAGAGGTCTCCCTAGCTAAGGGGTCCCCATACCAGAGGAAGCACCTGTGGTCGACCAGATGGTGGCTCCCCTGAGGGAAAAGCTTTGTGATTCATTTTTCTTAGTACCCAGAACAGCTCCCAGTACCCAGGAGACATTTGGGAAATGCCTGATGTAGAAACAAATGATAAGTGGACATAAGGTGCTCCATGGTTGGAGTCAAAGGTCCTCCTCTCCAGGGAAGTTCCACATCTACCTGGACAGGGTTGTGCTGATGACAATCCTGCAGGGGATATGGGGGTTGGGTGGGAAAGTCACGGGAGAGAGCTGGACTCTCATCCCCCTTAAATTTAGCATTCTGGATGTGGGGGGTCTGATGGGCTTGCCAGACTTCTCTAGAATAACCTTGACTCTTCCAGTGGGAGGTGGGAGAAGGCCTCTTGAATCAGACCATCAGCCAGACCTACAGAGAGCTAAGCCTCATAGGAAACCCTCCCCTAGTCCCAAAGGCTGCAGGGTTCCCTCGGCTGCTGTGTGGAACACCCAGTCTCCACCCCACCCCCCAGGCCCTGTGCAGAAGCTGGACACTCTGGGAGGATCAAAGCCTGATGGCCAGTCCTGGGTAAATGATGCCTGAGTACAAGCAACCCCCTCCCAGAGAAGCAAGTCTCTGACCTGCGGTGTTAGGGACGCGGGGAAGTGGGCGGCCAGGCACTCACGCTGAGGTCATCGTTGAGGGCACAGGCTTCCAGCACTTCCTTGTACAGCTGGGCATCAAACATCTTCCCAAAGAGGATGTTGTCTCGGATGGTGGCAAACTGGATCCAGGGTTCCTGGGTGGCCAGGCCGAAGCCTCTGGACAGCCCCCACACTGCCACCCGCCCCCGCAGCCTGCAGAGAGCCAGGCCAGCAGCATGGGAGGCTGGCTCCCCGCTGGTCCCCTTTCTGCCCAGCCCCTGCCTCTGGAAGCCTCTCCAGATTGCTGTCTTTTACACGGGGTCCCGCTCCATGTCACATGGCTCTCTAGATCGGCAGCCACTGAGGTCGAGGGATCCTAATGAGGCTGGAGGCTCACTCTGGACTGGGAAGGGAAGAAACTGCTCTTTGGCCGCAGCCAAGCAGCCGTCGTATGTCGATGTGCTCAGAAGAGAGTGTGGCCACCACCCTGCACTCATTCATTCTCACCGCGAAATAAGAAGGCCCTCCCTCACACCTCTGCTCCTCCCTGGATCCCTCCCGTGCACAAGCGCACTTTCTGAGAGAGTAGCTGATGCTGGCTGTTTCCATATATTTCTTCACTCACTATTACAGCACTTCTAACACTCCGTGTGATGGTTTTGAGAACCCGCTTTCACTTCCTTCCCCTTTACAGACTGAAAACTCTCCCAAGAAAGGGACCATGTCTTGCTCATCCTGGCATCCTGTGGCCTCTAAAAAGGTGTCCACCATGTAGCAGGGGCCAGGAAAGTGCTGATGAAGGGCAGAGCTGAGGACACGGGGCACTGGAAGCTGCTTACCTGTGCAGCTCTCCCGCGATGGCAGCCAGCAGTGAGCTCTTCCCGCAGCCCACCTTCCCCACGATGCCCACCAGCATACCCTGCAAGGAAGCCACACAAGTGTCAGGTCTCCCTCCTGAGGCCCTGGGATAGCAATCATCCCATGGAGGCTTCTCTCTAGGCCCCAGTTAGCCTGGAGGGAAAGAATTCTCCACCCCACAGGCTGAGCTGTGCCTCAGTGACAGATGCTGTGTGGCCCCAGGGGAGTAGGGTGTTTTATTCTCCGCTCAGAGAAGCATCAGTTTCACTGTGTGAAGGGCCTTTGGAGAGCAGCAGTGTGCCAGAGAGCACGGGAGGAAAACTGCCCGAGAACTTCCAAGGAAAGCTCTGAGGCAGGCGACCCAGGATGTGGTGAGGGGAAGGAAGGACTCCAGGCTTTGGGGCCCGGATGCTGGGCTGGCTAACTCCACCTGCAGCTAGATTTCTTTTTTTTTTCTTTTTTATAATAAGTTTATTTATATATTTTTGGCTGCATTGGGTCTTCGTCGCTGTGCTTGCGCCTTCTCTAGTTGCGGTGAGAGGGGGCTACTCTTCGTTGTGCTGTGCGGGCTTCTCATTGCGGTGTCTTCTCTTGTTGCGGAGCATGGGCTCTAGGCGTGCGGGCTTCTGTAGTTGTGGCTCACAGGCTCAGTAGTTGTGGCTCGCGGGCTGTAGAGAGCAGGCTCAGTAGTTGTGGCGCACGGGCTTAGCTGCTCCGCCACATGTGGGATCTTCCTGGACCAGGGCTCGAACCCGTGTCCCCTGCACTGGCAGGCAGTCTTAGCTACTGCGCCACCTGGGAAGTCCCTGCAGCTAGATTTCTAATAGCTCAGGGCAAAAACAATGTTTTGCACAGGTACCCATTTCTGTGATTTGCAGTTTAAAATTCTCTGTGCTCCCTTCCTTGCTTAGTTGTAACATATATTCATGGAGCTATCGCTTTGTACACAATGGAAAAAAATTCCTTCCATAGAAACAGGTGGGGGCTTCCCTGGTGGCGCAGCGGTTGAGAGTCCGCCTGCCGATGCAGGGGACGCGGGTTCGTACCCCGGTCCGGGAAGATCCCACGTGCTGCAGAGCGGCTGGGCCTGTGAGCCATGTGCCGCTGAGCCTGCGCGTCTGGAGCTGTGCTCCGCAACGGGAGAGGCCACAACAGTGAGAGGCCCGTGTACCGCAAAAAAAAAAAAAAAAAAAAAAAAAGAAACAGGTGGGGCTCCTAGCAGCTCTGTCTGTGATGTCCCACACTGCCAGCCAGGGTTAGCCTATCTTCGAGCGGACACCAGACCAACCTGAGACCCTTCCCTGGGAAGCCTCCCTCTTTCTGGCTGTGGCCTGTAAGTGGAAGGGCTCTCTGCAGGCCTGTCTTCTGCTCAGTGGAGAGCAGGTCCACAGAGAGAGAAGAATGAGGCAGATACAGAAAGAAAAGCAGACGGAAGGAGCTGCTCGGCGAGTCAAGGCCTGGCTCTGGGCTGCTGCTGTGATCTGCCCACGTGCTTGCCTGTGGATTCCGCAATTCACCTCTATATCCTTCTTACAAATTCTTGTTGGCTTAAGCTAGCTCCAGTGGGTTTCTATGACTTATATCCAAAACAGCCCCAACTGACACATTAGTAAAATTCCTTTCAAAAATTCCAGGCTTGTCTTGCCTGAACTAAGAGGAAAAACAAAACGTTCAGCCCAAGCCAGAAACATGAGCCAAATGCGGCAGAGGCAGTTCAGGCTCCACTGGAGGACGCTGGGTTGAGCTGTGGGGCAAAGGGTTGGACACGGGTCAGGGGAGAGTGAAAACTCAGGACTCGGTGAAGAGGAGTTGCTGTCCTGCCAGGAATGTTCTTTCAAGTGCTTCTTTGATGATGTATGCCAGGGTGTGAGTCACAGGGTGTGATTCCTTTTCACCAGGCTAAATACAGGATTATCTATACCATTTTCAAAATCCTTCTGAGCAGGTGCTGCTGGGCCTCTCCCAGAGGTCCCTAGCCTGGGGAAGATGCTGGATAAGTTCTGAAGTCTGTTCTGAACTCAACAGCCCCTGAGGGACACGGAGAGAAAAATGCAATTGTTGGACTGGACTGGGTAGATGTGAATTGTCTGGTGACCAGGGAGAGATGTGACTGCTCTGAAGTGGCTGTGTGTTAGAAAACTGACATTCAGAGATAAGGTATCATCTCCTCTCCAATGAGAACCTGCTCACCAAAACCTCTCTGGTCCTTCCCTCAGTAATTAGAGCCACTGGGCCATCTTGCTATGATTGGCTCTGTCCTTGTTTATCGGTCACTGAGCTTGCATGTCCCTCGTCAGTCCGGGGATTCTGCTAGGGTGTCTGACCAACCAACCTTCTTCACTTCGAGATGACTGATGAAGGTGTCCTGGCTGGTTCCAACTGGGTCCCAGGAGAAGAGGGCTTCATGTAGCTCCAAGGCTGTAGATGGCTCTGTCGGAGGATCTGAACAAGGAAGAAGCCACTCAGCTTGGGCTTCTAATCCACAATCTACCTGCCCAGGGCTAATTCAGCCTCAGTCTTGGTCTGAGGATTCTCCCCCAGGAAATGGCCACCTGCCCTGCCTAAATTCTGCTGCCTCTGGCTCCTCTTGGCAGCATCTGTGTACAGCAACCAAGGGGCTACAGTTCCCTCCTCCCCTGTGCCAGGTTCTGCCCTCCAGCTTCCCATTACCTGGGCTGTAGCAGGCCTGGGGGTTGTGGTTGGGAAGGTCGAGGAAACGCTGGATCCGGTCCAGGGACACTTTGGCCTCCAGGAGGCCATTGATCACCCAAGGGAAGTTGTTGAGGGGTAGAATAAGCATGTGCACCAGTGCCAGGGCCGTGAACACCTAAGTGGGGTCGAAGGTGGGGGGAAGGGTTGGAGCATCACCTGAAGCTCGGGAATTATCTGAAGGCCTGCTCTATGGGTGGCCCTGCAGACAGGTCTGTGGAGGGGAAAACAGGGCAGCAGCAAAACTGAGGAGTTTGCTGGACAATCTTGGGTTAGAGGTGGCAGAGGTGGCCAGTCCAAGAATCCCAGAAATTCCAGATACTCCTCCAGGGATCCAGGTTGCTCCCTGATAAGCACACACACCTAGCTCACTCTGAGACCTTCTCAGAATTTCCAAGCAGCAACATCACCTGGCTATACCCAGCACTGGATCCACCTTGCACTGGATCGTGAACTTTTCCTCCAAGGCCATCAGAATGAGGATAAGGGGACCTAACCAGAAGTAGGACAGGAAGAGGAGAGGAAAGAAAGGAATTCCTTCGCAGAGGGAAGGGTTGTATATCCGAGGCCCCAGATGAAAAGTCCCTTCAGAGAATTTCTCCTTGGTTGGGAAAGGATAAGGCAGCCAGGGACCCTCCATCCCTCCTTCCCAGCCAGCACTGAAGGCCCCAGTCCACCCCTCACTCCACTGCAGTCTCCGTGCTGCTGCTTCTCTCCCATGCATTCCTACAGCTGTCCCCTCCCCTCCTGGTCCTCACCTTGGTGGCAGTGAGCTGGTGCCCCATGAGGACATAGGTGATGAAGATGACGATGGAGATGACGACTGGCAGGGCAGCCCACAGGTACACACAGGCTGCATCCAGGTACTTGATGACCCAGAGTCGCCCCAGCTCTCGAGCTCGGCAGGCCTCTACACGGGCCCTCAGCGCCTGCTCCCACCCGAAGAACTTGATGACACGAATGCCACTCAGCAGCTCTGTCACGAGCTAGGGGTGGGGACAAGAGAGCAGTACAAAGTGGAGACACTGCTCGCGTGTGCCCTCCTCTGCTCAGTCTCCCCCAGGCTCCTGGCACAAGATGTCAGGTATTCTGAGCCCCCATATGCTCCAGCTGCGGGCAGGTTGGAGCTGGAATCCTCCCACCTTCCTAGATGAAGCGGTGGAGAGTAAAGGGTGGGGGGGTCGGGTGGTATGGGAACTATTCCTATAGGAGTATACAGGTGTAGGAGGGCACACCACAGCCCAGAGTCAGGCAGAGGACAGAGCCAGGCAAGACGGGCAAGGGCCAGAGGAACTCCTTGAATCCTAACATTCAAACATCCCCAGCCTGCAAGCCAGGGAGGCACTGGAGCCTTCCCAGGTGGCCCTGGAGACTAGTCAATAGCTGTCATAGGTAGGGGAAAAGGCCTCATGCCATAACCAACTTTCAGAGACACCCCCCTCCCCATTAGCACTCGGAGCTATTCCAGTAAGAGGTTGACAACTACGCTGTATGGACCCCTAAGCCCACCATCCCCTCTGGAAAGGTACTACAATCACTGCACAACCCAGAACGACTCAGCCAGACCCTCACACCTAGAGTTGGCCCAGGTAGGAGACAGACCTGCTCCTTTCCCCACAGCCCACCCCTAAGAGGTAGCTGGGGTTCTCCTAGGCCTCTTCACATGCGGTTGTGGGGTGCTCTGTGCCTGAGATGAGGAGGTGGGAGACTGGGTCCTGGCTCTAACACTAAAATCCCATTTGGCCCCAGACAGGTTACTTCCCACCTCCTAGGGTTGCTCTTAGGGCTGCACGAGCTAATACTATAATATTACGAACAGGCTACACTTACTTAGTGCTTACTTTGTGACTGGTACTTGCCAAGCAGTATCTCATACGATCTCCAACTATGTTACGAGGCAAGCTATTATTATCCTCGTTTTACAGATGAGGAAACGAAGTCCCAAAGAGGTTAAGTGACTTGTCTGAAGTGATTAAGCTAGTAAGTGGTAGAGCTGGGATGTGAACCCATGTCTGTCTTTCTCCGGTCTGAGCTCTCAACTTCTAGATCACACTCACTCTCTCAGGCACAGTGCACGGGAGGACCTGGGGACTCTGGATGACTGAGGGACCCCAAACAGCCCCTCACCTTAACCCGCGCATCCTTGTGCTGTAGCATCTCCTGGTTGCTGGCCATGATTCGCGTGGCAATCACTTTGTTGATGGGAACCAGCAGCAGCGCCAGGATGAGACCACCCACGAAGGCCACATCCACCTGCTGGTGCAGCAGGTAGAGGGTAATGACCAGCTGCAGGGGCAGGCCCCAGGCCTCGTGGAAGCTCCCAGCAAAGTTGAGCAGCCGCTCAGAGTCGGTGCCTAGTAGGTTCAGGATCTCCCCAGTGGGAGGGCGTCTGGGCCCCAGCTGTAAAGCCTTTCGGTACAGGATGTTCAGCACAGCCCCCCGTGCCTGAAGTGTCACCTTCCGCACCTCATACCCATACTGATTCTGCAGCACAGCGCCCAGAACGGCCCCACCGGCCAGCCCCAGGGCATAGAGCAGGCCATTGCTTAGTGGCTCCTGCCCCTCCTCCAGGAAGCCCACTAGTAGGGACAGTAGCAAGGGTCCTGAGAATCCCAGCATGGTCCCCACCAGCTTCAGCAGTCCAAGTGCCAGGTAGCGCTGCCCCAAGGCCCCATACAGGGCCCTCCACATTCGGGTCCCCTCCTGCCATTGTGCTTGGAAGACACGGGCTAGGTAGGTTGGGTGCAGCCTGTCGGGGAGGCGGCAAGTGTCCTGGGGCTGCTGGAGCTCTCCACGGGCCCCACGGGCCAGCAATGGTGCCAGCCAGGCATAGGAAAAGCGTGATAGCCAGCTCTCCCCATCTTCAGCTACCTCGGGTTCCTGTCCCTCGTAAAGAAGGGGCTCCTGGGCCCAGGGTTCCTGTGGCCGCCCAGGGACTGCCCAGCCCAGTCCATAGGCCAAGAGTGCAGCCAGCTGCAGGATGAGAAGGCATAGGCGGGAGAGGGGCCCTGGGAGAAGTGGAGGCAGAAGTGTGCCTCGCTGGCAGTGCCATAGCAGGGTCAGCACTAGGGCTGGGGCTGGCAGGAAGGCAGTCAGAGTCAAGGCCAAGGGCCCCCGGGAGCGGCCATGAGGGGAGTGAGCCAACACCCACAGGGCCAGGCTGTGGCTGATCCAGGCCACAGCTGCCACGCCCCCGGCCAGCACCTCTAGACCTATGGGCCCTGGGCCTGCCCGTGGTGGCAAAACGACTGGAAAGAGGTCTAGCAGTGGAAAAATGGAGAGCAGGAAGGAGGATGCAAGTCGGACCCGCCAGCCAGGACTGCAGCGCGGGATGTAACCTGGATTCCTGGGGACAAGGGGGAAAAGAGAAAAGGAGGCATATCGTGGCTGACTCAGGGCCCAGACATACCTCCAGTAACTCACTTACCTAGAGGGAATCAACTCACTTTCCTGCCTGTATACCTTATTTCCATCCCATTTTACTCTGGAACTCAGGGTCTTTTCTCCCAGGAAATCTTCCTGGATTAACCTAACCCATTTTTCTCATCTACCTATACCATTTCTCGTCATTCTTTTGCCACAGAAATAAAAAATTCTGAGTTAATGTTGTACGGAACATGAAGACCCTAATTACAAAAAACACCAAAGAACAAACAAAAAAAACCCCAAAAATCTGAATTTTCTTACAGATAACAACTAAGAGATGAGTTTTCATTTTTACAAAAGTATCTACATAAAATAACCCTTAAATTCATCCGAAGCACTATTAGATGGATAAAAATTTGACTTACATACAGCTTCTATACACTAACACTATAGCCTAAATTTTCTGAAGCCTCAGAATATTCTACTCTCTGTTTCTCCAATGGCTGTAGAAGATGGTGTGGATCATTTTTGTGACTCCATTAGCTGAAGAAAAACCTCTTTTCAGTTTTGTTTGTATCATCTTGGCTTGCAAAAAACGTTTTTAATAAACAAAAGGGTTATCTGCCTGCATTAAAAATCAAGTACAGGGGGGCTTCCCTGGTGCGGCAGTGGTTAAGAATCCACCTGCCCATGCAGGGGACACGGGTTCGAGCCCTGCTCTGGGAAGATCCCACATGCTGTGGAGCAACTAAGCCCGTGCACCACAACTACTGAGCCTGTGTTCTAGAGCCCGCGAGCCACAACTACTGAGTCCGCGTGCCACAACTACTGAAGCCCGCGTGCCTAGAGCCTGTGCTCCGCGACAAGAGAAGCCACTGCAATGAGAAGCCCGCGCACCACAACAAAGGGTAGACCCCGCTCGCCGCAATTAGAGAAAGCCTGTGCGCAGCAATGAAGACCCAATAATTAATTAATTAATTATTTAAAAACTCAAGTGCAGGAAAACACACCTGCAACAGTACATATCAGAACACCTTGAAGGTTCATATAAGAAGAGGTTCATATAAAAACATATAAATCTGTATTCCCTTTGTTGTTGGTAGGGCTGGGTTACTGAAAATTTTAATTGTAGGTTAAAATGTTTTGGGTTTCTTTTAAAAAATTCAGTGATCACAGTTATATGGAGGGGTTTATATTCAGATAAAAGTCAACCTTTAATAATTCTTTTTTCTAAGATGTGGGGACAGAAGAACATTGTGAGCCCTTGGAGGCTGGTACACTGGCTCCAAGCTGGCCATTAACCAGTTTTATGAACTCAGGCAAGACTCTTTCCTTCTCTGCATCTCATTTACCTCATCAGCACAGTGAGCAGTGAGGAGTCTGGACCCAAAGCCCTCTGAGGTCCTTTCCTGTCTGAGATTCTGGATCTCTCTAAACCTTTTCAGCAACTTGCAAAAATCTGTTAAATGAAGTGAGATAACCACAATTTCTGTGGATTACATGTTGGTCTTTCTTGCCTTCTCCTTACACTGTGAGTTCCCAAAGGACTAGGCCAACTTTTTTTTTTTTTTTCGGTACTCGGGCCTCTCATTGCTGTGGCCTCTCCCGTTGCGGAGCACAGGCTCCGGGTGCGCTGGCTCAGCGGCCACGGCTCACGGGCCCAGCCGCTCCGCGGCATGTGGGATCTTCCCGGACCGGGGCACGAACCCGTGTCCCCTGCATCGGCAGGCGGACTCTCAACCACTGCGCCACCAGGGAAGCCCTAGGCCAACTTTTAAAAGATACTCCTCTGAGCACAGATAATCCTTCTGAGTTAGTCAGTGTCACTCTGTGCTGACTAACCCTCTCCAGCCTTTTGTCTCTGCATAAGAGACAAATCAGGATTCCTCCCAGACCAAGCAATTCTGAAGCCTCTCCTACACAAGGAAGGGATTCATCATCCTCTAACTCGTCTTAGGTAAGGACACAGTCTGTCCATTGGACTAGGGACTCCCAAAGACAGACCAGACATTCCTCCTGCCTTACCAGTAGCCAGAGTGAGATTAACTTTAGCCATATCTAGACATGCAGGAACTAAGTACAAAATCAAGGTGAGTTTAGCACCTACACCTTATAGCCCCAAATTCAGGAAGGAATAGGTTCTGATTTTGCTCTTCTCTTCTACCGACTGCTTCCTCTCCAACGAGTACATATGCTTTTCTTAGCCTAGAAACACTGAGGTTTCCTAGGTGGAAGTGGTGAGAAACTGGTCCAACATCTTCATCACACGTTAACCTTTTTGGCTTAAAAACATTGCTCACCCGCTTTTGCCTCCAATTCATGACAACTGTGTTTGCGCATCTGAAAATCTACAAAAGTGATGATTTCTACCATGCATCAGGCCTTTAAAAATGTGCCAAGCACTGCACTATATGCTTAAATGCATTATCTAAGTTAAATCTCCCAACGATGTTATGAGGCTCAGGGAAGCCAGGTAACTTGCCCCAAACAGCCACAACGCCGCAGAGTGGTCATGCCCACATTTTATTCTACTTTTGCCCCCTACTCCAGAGATCTCACTATTTCGGTTACACTTCCGCGGAGATGTGGGTTTCGAGTGAGGTCTGCAAGAACACAAGGACAGATCTCTTGCACCCGTCTCTACCCACCTCGGGTTGCCCCAGTGGCAGGCACTGAGCACAGCGAGGAGCGCGTGGGGCAGGGCGCTGAGCACCAGCTGGGTGAAGCAGTGGCCGGTGGTGTCCCCCTCCCACACAGGGAGCGGCTGCAACGCGCTGGTGCCGCACAACTGGGCCAGGAACCGCTCCATGGAGGCCTCACCTGAGAGGAAAGCAGAGGGTGGAGGAAGGGAAGGACCCTCCCAGAGAGAGAGGAATCCGCGTTCCCAAGTACTAGGCGCAGGCAGGGAGCGGGCACCAGAGGGGGCGGGACGCTGACCAGGAAGCGGGGATGGAGCACAGTGACAGCGCGTCCCCTGCCGGACCTCCCCGCCTTCAACCCCGCCCACAAAGCGGGACCTTCCCTTGCTGCCGCCCCGAAACCAGACACCGCCCGTTCTGGCGTTACCTCAGCAGTACAGTTGGTTTGGCTCCCAGGAGCAGGCGGCTTTCTGAACTGGTCACCTAGCCGGGCTCCGCTTTTCCCACTCCCTGCGTCCCCGCCCCCAGAGATCTGGAACCTATCACCTGAAGAAGCTGTTTTTCCACCGGATCCCGAGATCCTCAGCACTGGTGGAAGCAAAAGAGCGTGCTGCCGGTTTGGGACCCTGACCAGGCTCGCGTGGCACCCCCTAGAGGCGGGATGACCTCCCAAATTTTGCAGGGCTTCTGTGCGCGTGCGCATCTCTCTCTCCCCTCCGCCTCCCCTCCCCCTCCCTCTCTCTCTACGGAGGCGAGCCCCTTGTATTATGGCGCGCTTATGCTGCCTCTCAGGACACTTGCAAATGCACTGATCTCAGCTCTAATGCAGCGTCAGCCATACACTCTCACGTAGAGTACTCGCTCCCATCTGTTTACTGTTTACTAGCAGGCACATGCATTGCAGTCTAATTCTTACAGCTTAACAGCGATGGGAAGCCAAACATGCGAGCCTCGTGCCGCTTAAGGACACTTGAACCATTTCCTTCCTTACTCCAAGGTTGTATGGCCTTGGGGAAGTTGCCTAACGTCTAGGAACCTTAGCTTCTTTGTCATTACAAAGGAGGCAATGACACCACTACCGAAGTAGTGTTGAGAGAGTTGAATAATTAATTTACAGTGCTAAGTGCAAGTGCCTTGCTTAGAGTAGTAACGCAATAAATCTTTTAGGGAAGCAGTGGAAGAACATAAGCTTTTAGTTCAATGGACCTCAGTTTGAATCCTGACCCCACCAATTTTTAGCAGTGTGATCTTGGGCAAGTTACTTCTGCATCTTAGTTTTATTATTTGTTTAAGGGGCATGGTATTGGTATACATCTGACACAAGTATGTGCAGCGCCCAAAGAAAAGTAGCTCAACAAATAACTATGATAATCCCATTTAATCTCAGTAAGAAGCCTCTCATTAGATTCTCTAATGTCAGAAGTTAATGGTCCTAACACAGCATTGTAAGTCAACTATACTTCAATAAAAATATTTAAATGAAATTAATGGTCCTATTTTTACAAATTTAGAAGTGTAGGTGTACATTTCACACGCCCTAATAATTAATGGATCATTTAGGCATTGATCATCAATGGCTGCTAACTCACAAAAAGAGAGACAACCAAAAGTTGTGTGCCTCCTTAGGAAAAATAAAATATTCTTGCCAAAAAAATCTAACTTGAATTGATCAAGCCACTATATCTAATTATCTAGTTGCAAGAAACACAGGACACAGTTAAACAATACAGAGCTACTTGCAAGTTTATATTAGCCACTATAAACAAGTACATCGTCCTATACAAAGCTAAAATGTGTTTCACTGCATGTGTATGAGCAGGATGGGGTGAAGTTAATTGGGGGGAATCTAAGAACCAGAGGACAGGAGGGCTCTTTAGAGAGACCACTTCTGAAGAGAGGGTCAGTTAATGGTTCTGTTAAAGGTTACTCCTCCTTTACCACCTTCCACCCCCACCTATGGCCAACTTGGTGCTCAGGCACACCGGGAGGGCCCGAGTTCCCACTGACCACCTGAAGAAAGTGGTGCAGGGGGTGGTCCCCTCATTTTCATAATAACCCAGTGTCCTAATTTTCAATAAGAATTTTGGCAAAGGAGTCATACTACCGATAGGATCCTTTCTGACAGCCACAAACAACCAATTTACATTCTCCCAGACAGAGGAGGAAACACAATTTGAAACAAATAATTCCTGCATTCAATATCATTTGGCCCCTTAGTTTCACCAAGTTTCCCGGAGAAATTTTATACCCTGGTTTCGAAAAATGAGGCCAAAGCTACAAGTTTGTCTCCTTCCTTCCACTTTGGGGAACTGTTGGAGTAACAGCTAGGTAGCAAGAGGAGAGCTGAAGAGGGAGAGGAGGAAATCATTGGTCACTAGATGATTCACAATCCATAGAGTAGAAGGATGGCCAACCTCTCCAAAACCTAATGTCCAAAGGAAGTTTCTACAACTTTGTAAACTGACTTCAGTTTTCAGACTGGTGTGAACTGAGTATATCAGGCACCCGTGGAGCTGGTGGGAGTGGGGGTGGGCACATTCAGCTGAGTGCCCAAGAGAGGGTGGGATCGAAGGGAGGGCAGTGGAGGTGCCTCTGAAATGAAGAAGAACTCTCCTTGGTGGTGGTTTTCCAAGGCAGTAGGTTCTGTCTAGCTGCTCCCTTCTTGGCTTACTTCCTCCTTTCTGCCTGCACTTTACTCCATAATTATCAGCAAGGTGATTTGCTGGAGGGCAAGGGGGCAAGTGTGGCTAGGACTGAAACTGGGCAAAGCCCCTGCCACACCCAGGCTTCATTCTGCCCACATCATCTCCCTGCCAGGTCACCGCAAGCTGCTGCGCAGCCCATCTAAAAAAAAAAAAGAAAAGAAAAGAAAAAAAAGAAACCCTGTACCTTAGCTATCCGTCTTTTATTCCCCCTCGACCCCCTCCATCCCCAGCCTTAGTCTATCTGTCTCTATAGATTTCCCTATTTTAGACTTTCATGTGAATGGAATCATATAATATGTGGGCTTTGGGGGTTTTCTTGGCCATGTGGCTTGCGGGATCTTAGTTCCCTGAGCAGGGATTGAACCTGGGGCCACAGCAGTGAAAGCGCCGAGTGCTAACCACTGGACCGCCAGGGAACTCCCTATGTGGGCTTTTGTGATTGGCTTCTTTCACTTGGCATAATGTTTGCAAGTTTCACCCAAGTTGGAGCATGTGTCAGTACTTCATTCCTTTTTTCTTTTTATTGTGGTAACATAAAATTTACCATTTTAAACATTTTAAGTGTACGGTTCAGTGGTATTAAATACATTCACATTCATAACCACTACCCATCTACAGTACTTTTTCCATCTTCCCAAACTGAAACTCTAGACCCATTAAATACTACCTCTCCATTGCCCCCTCTCTCCAGATGCTGGCAACCACCATTCTGCTTTCTGTCTCTATGAATTTAACTCGTCTAGGTATTTCATGTAAGTGGAATCATACAATATTTGTCTTTTTGAGACTAGCTTATTTCACTATATATATATATTTACTTTCATTCTGGATTGTTTACAGGAGCATAAAAATAAAATAGATTTTTTAATATTGACCTTGGGTCCTGTAACCTTGCTGAACTTGTTTATTAGTTGTAATAATTTCTAGTGGATTCCTTGGATTTCTTATACACAAGATCATGTCACCTATAAACAGAAATAGTTTTGCTTCTTCCTTTCCAACTTGGATGCCTTTTATTTCTTTTTCTCGCCTAACCAGCCTGGCTAGAACCTCCACTACGATATTGAATAGAAGTGGTGAGATTAGACATCTTGTCTTGTTCCTGATCTTCGAGGGAAAGCATCCAGTCTTTTTTTTTTTTTGAATTTTTTTTTATACAGCAGGTTCTTATTAGTTATCTGTTTTATACATATTAGTGCATATATGTTGATCCCAATCTCCCAATTCATCCCACCACCACAATCCCCCAAGCATTCAGTCTTTCACCATTAAGTATGATGCTAGCCGTTTGTTTTTCATAGATGACCTTTATCAGGTTGAGGAAGTTCCCTTCTACTCCTAATTTGTTGAGTGTTTTTATCGTGAAAGGGTATTGGGTTTTGTAAAATTATTCTTTGTCTACTGAGATGAACATGTCATTTTTGTTTTCTTTTCTATTGATAGAATGGATCACATTCATTGATTTTCAGATATTGAACCAATCTTGCATTCCATTTCCTTCCTTTGTATTCCTGAATAGTATTATATTGTATGAATACATCATATTTGTATATCCATTCACCCACTGGTGGAAATCTGGGTTGTCTCCAGTTTTGGCTATTATGAATAATACTGATATAAACATTCCTGTAAAAGTCTTTGTGTGGACATAGGTTTTCATTTCTCTAAGGCAGATACCTAATTGTGAAATTGCTAGGTCTTATGGTAAATTTATGTTTATCTTTTTAAGAAACTGACAAACTGTTTTCCAAAGTTGCTGGGACCATTTTACCTTCCCAATGTGTAAGATTTCCTGTTTCTTCACATCCTGGCCAACATTTGTTATTGTCTATCTTTTTTATTTTAGACATTCTAATGGGTGTGAGATGGTATCTCATTGTGGTTTTAATTTGCATTTCCCTGATGGATAATAATGTTGAACGGGAGGTAGGGCAAAGCATAGTCCATGGCCCTTATAGGGGTTTCCATGGGAAAGACAAGGAAGAGCAAGAGAAACAGTTTAGGATTGGCTACTTTGAATAATTATGGTGGGCTATAAGCTGTAGGGGTAGTCCCTAGTTAGCTGGCACGTAGACCTAGCATGATTTAGGGTAAGGGAAATATAGGTTTGGTGTGTGAGAGTTAGATAAGAAGGTAGCTGGGGATATAAACCCTGGATTGGTTGGTTTACATATGAAAGGTACGCTTGTAGGCAAGTTATTATCTTTACAAATTACCTACCTTGGAAGGGGCAGTCTCTCCCCAGACAGAAAGGTTTTTTTAAAGATGTCAAACCATTATAATATATGGAAAATTTACAATGTGTTTATGATATATATTTTTTCTTTTTTTGGCCACGCCGCACAGCTTGTGGGATCTTAGTTCCCCAACCAGGGATCAAACCCGGGCCCTTGGCAGTGAAAGCATGATGAGTCCTAACCACTGGACATCCAGGAAATTCCCTGATATATTTTAAATATACATTT